AGAAATAGGTGTCCTACAAGTACACTTACATCAATGATGCCGGAAGAAGCTTGAAGTGGGAGAAAACCTTGTGTTTCTCACATGAAGACCTTTGGATGCATAGCATATGCAAAGATACCAGGTTATATGAGATCAAAATTTGATGCAAAAGGTACAAAATGTGTATTTGTTGGATATTGTGAAAGTACCAAGGCTTATAGGCTCATGTGTTTGGAAATTAAAAAGATCATCAAAAGTCGTGATGTTGAATTTTTGGAGCACAAGAGTGCTTGTGAGTACTTGGGATATGTCCAAATAGAAGTAATGGTGTGTTTGTGGACACATCTTCAAATTCAGTAAAGAAAGAAGAAGACAAAGATAATGATGGTTGTAAAGATGGAAATAAAGATGAAGAGACAAAGAAGGTCGACAAGAAGGCCTCTACAATTGCTAAGACCAGCAATGAAGAGCATGAAGATGTTGATGATGATGGTGATGAGGATTATGAACCTTTGAGTAATAAAAGTCTATCTTCAAAAGAAAAGAAGGTTGGAAGTGACCATAGAATGCAACAAGTTGAGTCTTCTTCAAATAAAAAGAGATATCGTTTGAAAGATAGAAAAAAACATGGTGAATGGTGGAAGGACCATATTTTTCTTTAAGTAATTAAAGAACATGCCAATATTACACTTCTTGCTGATCCGTTGAGTTTATGTGATGCAATGAAGTCCTTGGATGCTATGAAATCGAAGAATGCTATGGAAGAAGAATACAAATCACTCATAGACAATGGAACATGGGAATTGACTCAACTTCTATCAAATCAAGCTTCAATTGGTTGTAAGTGGGTATTTAGAACCAAAAGAGATATAATGGGCAATATTGTGAGGTATAAAGAAGATTGATTGCCAAAGACTACTCACAAGTTATTGGTGTTGATTTCAATGAGACATTTGCTTCCATGGCCAAATTCACCACCATTAGAACCATTGTGGCAATTGGGGCAGCAATGGACTTAGAGATGTACCAAATGGATGTGAAGACGGCTTTTTTGAATGGAGACATCTACATGGATCAAACTCAAAGATTTGTTGAAGAAGGCAAACAATACCTTGTGTGTAAGTTGAAAAAATCCTTGTATGGGCTTTAGTAATCATCAAGGGCATGGTACCAACGTATCGACACCTTCTTTGTAAATGAAGGATTTATAAGGAGTGAGGCTGATCATTCCATGTATGTGATGCAATCAAAAGCCTTCTTGCTGATTGTTATTCTTTATGTTGATGATTTGATCATTTTGACCAATACTTTAAAAAAGATGGATTGATTGAAGGCAAAGTTAGCAAAAGAATTTGAAATGAGTGATTTGGGAGAGCTCCATTATTGCTTAGAAGTGGAATTTGTGAGAGATCGAGCTAAAAAGTTCATTACATTGAATCAAAAGAAGTACATTAAAGAGGTATTGAAATGGTTCAACATGGAGGAGTGCAAGTCCATTGGAACACCTTTGGAGGCAAATTTGAAGTTGATGAAGCTCACAAATGAGGAATTTGCTGAAGTTGAAGAAGAAATGAAAGATGTTCTATACAAGGCAGTAGTAAGCTCACTTATGCATGCAATGGTTGGTACAAGGGTGGATCTTACATATGTGGTGAGTATTGTGAGTCAACACATGTCAAAGGTTGGACCAATTCATTGGGCAACCATTAAGAGGATCTTGAGGTACTTAAAAGGCACTTTGAACTTCAAATTATGTCTTGGAGGTGATAGTATTACATGTATGGATATTGTGATGCGGATTGGGCTAGAGATGCAAATGATAGAAGGTCAACAACGAGATATATATTCTTTGTTAGAGTAGGAGCAATTTCATGGAATTGTAAGAGACAACCAATAATTGCAAGGTCTACAATGGAGGCGAAATACATGGAAGCAAGTCATGGTGCAATGGAGACAATATGGCTAAAATAAGTTTTAGAAGACATTGGACTTGTGCAATTGGAAGCAACTCCAATGAAGTGTGAGAATCAAGGATGCCTTTCTTTTGCCAAGAATCCAAAGCATCATTCAAAGACAAAGCATATTGACATTTAACACCACTTCATACGGGAGAAGATTGAGATGGAAATAATTGACATGAAATATTGTGTAATGGAAGACATGCTTGTTAATTTACTCACAAAAGCATTGGTGAAGGATAGACATTACAAATTGATAAAGAAATTAGGTTTATTAACCTTTGACCAATAGCAAAGTAGGAGTATTAAAATAAATGGAGGATAAATTAGAAGGTAAAAGATATTATCTTAGATAAGTTACTAATGGTCAAAGGGCAGCAAAAAGATGAAGGAAAGTTATCAAGGTGACGGCTAGGGTTTTAAGTGGTGGCTAGGTTAAGAGAAATCTAGGGTTTAGTTAGATGAAAGTAAGATGAATACTAGCCAAAATGGATGTAATCTCTATCTATAAGTAAAGGGTGTTGGAAGTGAGAGGTATCTCATTCCACACTTCTCTTGTATCTAACCTTGCTGATTTCTACTTACTTATGTCTTGCTTATTGTGTTTCTTCAATAAAGCCTTCGTAACTTTCTTCAAATAAAACATTTAGAATACCATCGGGAGTTGTTCATACCTCCAATAAAATCACCAAATATCGAAAAAAAATTTGAAGGTTGTGATACCAAATACATTGTATCTTTCCATCTATTTGAAGAAAGACATGTCATTCTTGAGTATCTTTATTTTGATTACATTGTCTTAAAGGTTGTGATAATTGTATTGTCTTATCTGATAAGTCAATAAATGAAAGCTCTTGAATTGAATTTGCTGGTTGTTAATTCTCCATCTCTTTAAGATCATATATATAGAAACTACAAAAAAAGATAGAAGATAGAAAATTTTCTTTCTTTGATTTTGTTTCTTATATAGCAAAGATTTGCTATTCTTTTATCTTAATTTTGATGGATGTTGTCAATAAAAATCTTTAAATTTCTTTGCTGTATTTTCAAGATTCTTTGTTGACTCTCATGTGCTTTCTTTAATATCATATCCACACTAATGAACAAGATATTCTAACATATTTTTGTGCTGCCTTGAATCTAAGACTTCTTTTACCTTGAACTCTTGATTATTATCTGCTTCTATTGGAGGAGGTGGCATTTGTCTTCTTTCAAAGATATTCACTGTCTTATATAGTTTAAGAAGAGACAAGTGAAATATGGAGTAGATCTTCATAGACTCCAGTAGATATAATCAATAAAGAATGAGATTGACTTATTTACTAATAAGAAAAGGTCAAAGCTTATGATAATCTATCTTGTCATAAATACAAATAGTCTTAATATTTCTATAAAATAATCATACCTTGTCACCTACGTTGAATTGTGGTTATTTCTTACAATAAGTATCTGCATTAATTTTTTGTCATTCTTGAGCTTTCTTTAACTACGCCTTCATTGTTGCATGTAGCTCTACCAAAAATTTGCCAAATCTTCTTCCATAAGATTATTAACTTTTAAAAAGTCAAAAGTATTAAGTCATAGATAATAACCATAATTAGCAAAGAAAGATGTTTGTTGAGTGGAAGAATGTACCCAACTATTGTATGTAAATTTTGATAATGGTAAAAGAGTTGTCCAATCATCTTGATGATAGTTAATGATACACCTCAAATACTGTTCTAATATTTGATTTATTCATTCTATTTGTCTATTAATTTGAGGATGAAAAGTTGAAGAGAGCTTTATATCCATCTTTAAAATCTTATAAACGATTCTCCAAAATCTTAATATAAATTGAGTCTCTCTATATGATATAATATCTTTAGGCAATCCGTGATAGTAATAGATGTTGTTAAAAAAAAGCTTAGCTATTTCTTTACCTATGATAGATTTTGTATATAGTACAAAATGTACCATCTTGGTAAAATAATCTACTACTATGAGTATAAAATCATACAAACATGAGACTAAAAGATTTGTAATAAAATCCATAGAAACTCAAGACAAAATTTGATGCATCTATTTTAATGAAAAATTTCACACATTAGTTTGAAATAACCAATTCTAATATCCATGTCATCCAATTATTTTAGATTGCATATATTGATACAAATGCCACAGTATTACTTTCATCTTATTCCACATAGAAATATGCATGTATTCTATATTTCTTTAAAAATCAATAAATATTATATTTAAGTAATTGTAAATAGAAAAAGAATAGAAGCAAAGGTGCCATACTAAACATCAGTTTTTGGATCTAATGGCACTACATAAGTAGATGACTTCCCATATAAAAATATCTTATATAAATAAAAAATCAATTTTTAAAACATCTAACAAGTTACACAATATTCTCAAATAGGACATGGTACGACTTAACTAAAGAGTATTCACCATAAATTTAGTCTATATCATACAAAAATTATGAATAGCAATATTTCAGAAATTTCAACCAATCACATGTGAACTTTTTCACAACATATATATAGAGATATTATAGTCTATCTATGATAAAGTTTTTTCAACAAAATTCTTCTAATTCTCAACAAAATCATTTAGGTTGCTAAATAACTCTCCTTTCTAGTTACTTGTACAAAAATGCAATAAATCCTTATTATTATTATTATTATTATTTAATATTAATATCTACTATCCTCTGACGTAAGCAGTGACGTGACATTTGGTGGTTGCTTATCTGAGGCTCTCTGCCAAGAGAGTGCTGCTCATGGGTCTCTCCTGCCCCCCCCCCCACTCTGCCCAGCCTGCCCCTCCTCCTAGCGGGCAGAGAGGGCAGGGCGGGCAGTGGGACGGGCAGGCCTGTCATGCGGGAAAAGGGAAGGAAGGGGAATGGGAATAGCCGCGGCCTCCTTTTGCCTTTTTCGCTTTATTTTTTCCCTTTCTCTGTTTTACTTTACGCTTTCCCGACTCGATTCCCTGAACCCCGTTTCCACAGCGGAGGCTTCTAACGCCCTTCTTCGCATCAAATCCTGAACCTGGACAGCTTCGTCGCGCTCTGAGCAGACCTAGAGCGATTTGTAAACCCAGAGCCTCTCCTCGCCCATCGCCATTGTGGAAGTAGAAGTAGAAGTCGAAGAAGAATCTTTTGACGTCGAGCCCATGAAGCACAAGCGATTTAGTAGCAGGCAAACACAGGTAGCTCAGGGGAATTCCAGCTCTAAACCAGCGCCAGCAAACAAGCTCTCATCTTGAACCCGCGCAGAAAAGCTGTCCACGGAATTGCGGAGGCCTACGCTCTTCTCCGCAGTAGAACGACTCCACTGAGACCCTTCACAGCCGCAATAGAGCCTCGCACGATGACATAACAGTCTTGCCCCTCAATTTTGTTCCGAGAGACGTTTTTTTCCTGTAGAATTCCCATCCGTACAGCCTTGCAAGTGTTTGGGATTGCTCGAATTTGAATCATCGTGGTTTCCTTTTCTCATGATGGTGAGTTAGTTCAACGAGCATTAACTGCGCAACCTGACCCAACTAAGCGAAAATTACGATAATCTGAAGGGTCTTGGGATATAGAATTTCACGAGGATTAGACTTGCATGCTCTTTGCAGTGGATTTTCCGCACCCAATGGGGGCTTTATGTATTCACTCGAAAAGGAAAAGTCAGGCACGCCGATTCTCTTCTACCACCTACATCTGGATTCCCACATGAGAGCGCTGCATGAATATTGTTCTGCATCCCTTATGGGCCTAGAGGATATGATTCGCATCTCTCCGGCAGGGCCCCGCCAGAGGATCGGCTCTCTGGTCTGTGGAATTCCAGAGATGTCAACGAGAAACGTAGAGCCGTTCGTTCTCGCTCCCGCTCTGTTTGATTGACAGTCGCTCTTCCCCACCGCGAGCTCAAACCTGGCAGGATGATACTGGAGAGTATCGAGGCAGCTGCGAAGTCATGGCGACTCTCTCTGTGGGCTTTCCCTTCCGACAATTCACCTGGCGCGGAATCAACACCTTCAGCTTCCCTGACTTCCAGTCAAAACTTTACGAATCCAGGATATCCCACAACATCCATGTTCTAACGCAGCGCATATTTCCACTGCCGAGGAGTTTACCTCGCAGTTCTTTCCTCAATTTCGATTTGAATATCGCACGTCACATTCGATACTTTTGATACTCGCCGGAAATAATTTACATGAATGACCAATCGAGCATCCACCTACAACACCATGTGCTCAAATTAGGATTGACCCTGATTGTGCTACAGTCAATGTTCGTCAATGTTAGTCTTTAGTTTAAAACAGTGAAAACATGAATTGCATGAGTATATTTGTAAAATTAAAAGTAATGGAGCTATTTACTTGTACTAATAAGCCATTCCATGAGACTAATTCAGCCCATGCTGGAGCCTGTCTTGAGGCGTGAAGCTCTGCCGTCGAGTCTGTCAGAGGGAGGTGACTTGACCTGTGGAGTCTGGGTTGTCTCTTTACTCTGGCTGTGCAATCTGGTGCAACTCCAGGAGTACTCTCTGTTGGACTGTCATGGAGTAACTTGTGCCGGTAGTACGCGGCGCGTTTGCAGAGGAGTTCGTTTGCCGCTGCAGATCGAACTGCTGGATATGGTACATACGTGGAGATGGGTACAAAATGAGTTATTTCTCCAAGCGTTTCCTCTGTGTTTTTTGGTACAAGTTAGTACTCTTTCACGGTTCTTACGGTTGTGAGCGCAAGTGCAATGGAGTGGGGTCGCAGGTGAATTCCACAGCAGCGTTGAGGTCATTCAAAGAATCATTCAGATGATGACCTTTCCCTTTGACTCTTGCCTGTCCATTTGGGTGGTACTCATTGTAAGTTGTTGAAGTGGATGTCCACCGAGGTCGGGAAGCCACATTTCTATTCGCTGGACGAGGCCCCCTCCCTTCCTCTGACCCGTGATGCTCATTGACGTCTGTCAGGCAGTAATCTGAGGCTTTAGTTTTCAAGAGCTGGTTCGGTAGTGAGATAGCAGCACCGCAAGATGTTTCTTTGTGACGGCATTGCCTTCTTGAGAGATTCGTTCTCAGTTTATTTTACATTCTGTTCGTAGATGCTATAGCTGATTGCTGACCCTCGAGAGCTATGTAGCGGTTCGCTACGCAACACAGCTGGGGGTAATCAAGAATCCAGTGCTGGAACTGGTTGTCAAGTGCAGCTGAATGATTGCGAGTGCAGATTGCGTAGACGTATCGAGGCGGCTTTTGTGTTGGGAAAGAGGGGCGGAAGCTGTGTGTGTGTGTGTGAAAAAGAGAGAGAGAGAGAGAGAGAGAGAGAGAGGAGACTTTGAGGCATTGCAAGAATGGCAGGAATTAGACCAAAATGGCTGAGGCTGCAGCTTGTAGCGCCATGGGCGGTCTTCATTTTTATTCTCAGCTCGTGTAGTTCAAGGACTTCGGCAATATCCCTGCCTGACCAAGGCGAGTGAATTTGCGAACGCTGCATGGCATGGATTTCTTCGACACCGCTTTTCACTTTCTGCGCAGTGTTGTTGTTGCATTAGGAATGGGAGTTCATGATTGAAGGTTTAACAATGTCGTTGGTGGTGAATAACTTGAATGCAACATTCAATGTGGTCGACTCTGCCAGATTTCAAAAAGTGTTTATAGGTGGCACTGTTTTCACAATGCTCGTCCGTAAAGAACTCTATGAACGAATATCTGTCCAAAGTCATGATCGAGAGAATTGTGTGAAGATAGTCCACAAATTTAACATTTTCCATAGACACTGAGATAAATAACACTCTCGCAGCAATTTCAGGGACTCTCCCAAAGCTTGACGCCCATGACTCTAGCACAATGCCCATCTCTGGCGCGCGACACAATTGTTAGGTTACTGAGTTCATCAGCTTGTACCTATGTTTGTCGCAGTACGTGAACCTTTTCAACATTGTTGATTGCAGTACGTGCTCTTATGAACCTGAAAGCGGCATTCATGAATGGTGAGCACGAGCTGCATGACTGGGATAACGGAAGCCAATCTCCCTGTGGATGGCTGGGTGTAACATGCAACAACCTCACTTTTGAAGTGACAGCGCTGTAAGTTGGATGTGCAAACTGGTATTCGTAGAGCTCCTGGTATTAGCAGGTCCTCCCGGCTTAGTGCCTAGTAAGCTTAACACGAGACGAACAAGGTTGTGCTGTGAAGGATTTTCCTGCAGATGTTTCGACTTATTGTTGTGGTAAAGCTTCAAGTTGCTGAGACTGTGGTTCTTTATGCCTTAGGGATTCATCATTGCGCTTTCTAAGCCTCTTGGGTACGTCTTTCGGCTGTGCAGGAATTTGTCAGATCTTGCTCTTTCAGGCGAAATATCTCCGTCGATTGGACTTTTGTGGAACCTTCAAGTCTTGTGAGGCCCTCAAAAGACTACGACTAATACTTAAATGTCCTGGAAAATTGATATGAGTCACCCTTAAAACCTAGACCTCATGAAACACTCAAAAATTTTCCTCTTGAGTTTTGCAGGGACCTCAGTCAGAACAGTATTTTCGGACAGCTTCCAATTGAGATATGCAACTGCACAAGCCTGACATGGATGTAAGTCTCCTCTTTTGGTGACACATCAGAGTGAAAGCACTGTCAGTATTGACAAGAACGACACATCGATCTGTGTCAACATCTTTGGTGTTCTGACACGAATGACTCATCGATCTGTGTCAATATCTTCGGTATTCTGACACGAGCTATTCATTATCAATATCATGCCCTTCCATCCGTGATACATGAATTTAGCTGGCGTTGGTGACAAGACCAGCTTTAAATCTTTTCATAATACTCTGCTTTTGAATGCTCCTGTGAACGGCTAGAGGCTCATGGTTAAGTGTCACCCCCTTCTTCTGCAGAGATTTGTCAGGGAACAACCTCAATGGCGAGATTCCATATCTCCTGTCACAGTTGCAGCTGCTTGAAGTCTTGTAAGTTCCCTGTTGCATCTTGGATTGAGACGTAGAAGCTGGTTCAACTCCACCTCGATGAAACAACTGCCTCTCACTTCTTAAAACTTCACAGCAGCAAATGGAGTCTCTCTTAGAGCAGAAATTAATTCTTGTTGTTCAATCATGTAGGAATTTGAGGAACAACAAGTTCTCGGGGCCTATACCCTCCTCGTTTGCAAGTCTTTCAAATCTGCGACACTTGTAAGCGCAATGTCCAGCTCCTTATACAATGCATACTTTATTCCTGGTCATGGTTACTTCACGATATACACACTCGATTGAAGGGTTCTTTTTTTTTTTTTTTTTTTTTTTTTTAGCTAGATGCCAATCACACTTACGGAAACTTTGCTTTTGAACAGAGACATGCAGATCAACAACTTGTCGGGTCCCATACCTCCCTTACTCTATTGGAGTGAAACGTTGCAGTACCTGTAAGTCTCAAAACACGAGGACACATCTGTAATTCTCACGAATTCATAGCGACTTATCTCAACGGGTTCCTAGGATATGATATTTTCTGTCTCTCTCAGTTGAAATTTAATCTTTTCGATCTATAGTATCACTGGAAATCCAAGTTTCATTTTGGTTGATGTGTTCACAAGCTTCATCAATTGTGGTCTGTATTTATATTTTAATTCCTTGCACGTTACTTTTAGGAGTGGCATTTCTAATTTAGAATTCTCACTGTTCATTCTGTCAAATTTCTGTTGCAGAATGTTGAAGTCCAACCAGCTGACTGGAGGTCTATCTGATGACATGTGCAAATCAACCCAGCTTGCCTATTTGTAAGCGTCAATTTTCGTTATTATATTATGCGTAAGTTATAAGTTTGCGGCTGTTCATGGTCGTTGTACTCAAGTCCCAACAGAACTCCTGGAAAAAGTACCAGTATTTTCAGATATTTTGAAGCCAAGGAAAATGACTGCGTATCTCGAAAAAGAGAACGGTTCCTCTATGTTCATCCTCTGTAGTATCAAACTGAAGTCTTTGCAACATGCGCCGAAACCCCTGACAGAAGTGCCATTTCTATATTTGTCTTCAGCAATGTCCGAGAAAACAAGCTCTCAGGGCCGCTGCCCGCTTGTATTGGAAACTGCACATCATTCCAGATCTTGTAAGTGACACAACCAATTCCAAGGTCGAATGATTCATATCTCAGCTATTTTGCATTGATCTTAGATGTTTTGAGAGCTTCATATTGAAGTCTCAAGCTTGCGGATGTGTGTCCTCAGGGACTTGAGCCATAACAACTTCTCCGGAGAGATTCCGTACAACATTGGCTACTTACAAGTCAGCACCTTGTAAGTTTAAACTCCTCTCTACAATCGAAGTGGAGCTACCACATTCGATTGACTAAGAATGCAGTCCCTTCTTTAGACATGAACAAAATGATCCTCAAGTCGTGATTTCAAATTTAATTGCAGGTCATTAGAAGGGAACAGGCTCTCTGGTGGAATTCCTAATGTTTTAGGGCTCATGCAGGCCCTTGTAATCCTGTAAGTTTACTTTTTTTGGCTGTCTTGTATGTTGCATGAGAAATGAAACAGCTTGGACGTTTTCAACACCGTCAAACTATATGATGCTTGACATTGATATGCACAAAATCTGCTGGTTGAACAGTGTTCTCTCATCTCCTGAGGAACAGAGGCGTGTTTATTTCTTTACCTTACTGCAAATAGGAAAACAAAATTTTAGGAAAATGTGTAAGATTGTTATGTGATTTTGATATTGTCCAGCGACCTAAGTAACAACCAACTTGAAGGGGAGATTCCTCCAATACTTGGGAACCTAACTTGTCTTACAAAACTGTGAGTTGGACGCATTTCCCTGTTACCTTACAAACCTTCTTGTATTTGGAAGAATTCAGTTGTTTGAATTTTTTTGCTCCATTGCATGATGAAGACCCACTGAACTCATATGCACAATTGATACTTGAATGAACGCGAATAAGATTCATTTGATTACAGGATCACAGTTTCGATTTCTGCCTCTTGCAGATATCTCTACAATAACAACATCACTGGTCATATACCGATAGAATTTGGAAATCTATCACGGCTGAACTACCTGTAAGATCCTTTGAGTGACAGCATTTCTATTTGGAAGCAGATCATCACTATGCCATATTTTCAAACATTGCCATATTGTCAACGGATTGCTAATGAAGTCAATTGGATAAATCATCTCGAAGCATAAATCTGTTTTTTTGCAGGGAGCTGAGCGGCAATAGCTTGACAGGACAGATACCGTCCGAGTTAAGCTACCTCACGGGTCTATTTGAACTGTAAATCTTCTAAACCCATCCTTTTCGCTAAGAGATGTTGAGACTTTTTCCACATGACCAGCGTATTCATTTCGATCAACTCAGACAAATCTAGAAACTAGACCTTGAAGAAACGTATCTCCATTTTGCAGGGATTTGTCTGAGAATCAGATCTCTGGATCAATTCCAGTAAATATCAGCTCTCTGACTGCACTGAACATCCTGTAAGTTATTCCCACGTCCAAATTTTTCAACTAAACCTGCGTTGGACTCAAGCACTCATGTTGAGTAGTACACAGTTGTACTGAGGCACACTGAGGTGTATCACCAGGAACGTGCACGGCAACCAGTTAAATGGAAGTATACCCCCGGGGCTTCAGCAGCTAACTAATCTCACCCGATTGTGAGTTTGCCTCCAATGTTGTGAATCTGAAACCGTGAGCACAGTGTCTTTAAAATAACCACCGTTCTTAATTTGAGATTTTGAGCCAAAGTACTTATTAGCAACCAATTGTTTAATGTTTTCAGGAATCTGTCATCCAACCACTTCACCGGAAGCGTGCCAGAGGAGATTGGAATGATTGTGAACCTTGACATACTGTAAGTCTAGGCTCTCGGAATATCAACTTATGCCTGTTGTAGTTGAAACTGAATGGACTAAAATTCATGTCAAAAACATGCGAGTTCCTTCTAATCTGAATTTTGTAGAGGGTAAAGGATTTGCTCTACGCTGATTTTAAATCCGATGTGCAGAGATTTGTCACACAACAATCTAACTGGACAAGTGCCTTCTTCAATCTCGACTCTTGAGCATTTGGTCTCCATGTATGACCTAGAAACATTCCGTCTTGAGATTTGAAGCACTTCTCTACTTTCAAACAGATAGAAATTTATTGGCTTCTTAACACTCACACGCTGAGTTTGCTAATACAGAGATCTACATGAAAACAACTTGAATGGGTCTATTCCAATGGCGTTCGGCAACTTGAAGAGCCTCAACTTTCTGTGAGTCACTTATCCTACGTGCGAGTTAGACCGAAAGGAGGTTCATAATGCAGATTGGGCCTAATCATCTGTGACTTCTCTTCGTTTGATGTGAATTCTCCCGATAATAAATGCCAATTTTTGTTTTGGTTGCAGTGACTTGTCGCATAACCACATTCAAGGGCCCATTCCCCTCGAACTTGGACAACTCTTAGAGCTGTTACACCTGTGAGTATTCTTCTCAACGTCACCCTCCTCCACTTCCAACGCTGACAGTTCGTCCCATCACACTCCTGTGTGTATACTAAACATTGTTCTATGGATTCTTATATTCTTCAGGGACTTGAGCTACAATAATCTCTCAGGCTCCATACCAGTACCACTAAAAGAATGTTTCGGTTTGAAACACTTGTAAGCTACGAAATCTTCATTGGGTAATTTGAAAGTGTACGCTTGTGTGGAGTGAATGGGTGGAAGAGTTTCAGGGAACGATTTTAAGTGTCCAGGTTCAGCAATGAGCGTAGCTTTGAACTGCCTCTATCAAGATTCTAAACTGATTTTATGAACTCTTCTGTTAACTCACATCTCAATGAAATTGTGCAGGAATTTGTCCTACAATCATCTCTCGGGAAACATTCCTCCAGATGAGCTCTTCTCAAGGTTTCCGGCGAGTAGGTGAAATATTCATATTCCCTCCACTTCTGAAACAGACCCGCGAGTAATGGTGATGAAGCTACCTTCTGCCCTCTTCCAGCTGCTCGTCCTCACACTTGCCAAATAGCTTTTGAGTGGTTGCTTGTTTGTTGGCAGCTACGCAGGAAACCCCCTGCTTTGCACCAACATCAGTGCCTCTTGTGGGCTTGTTCCTTTGAAGAGCACGAACATTGCGTCGCAGCCTCCAGGTTCGTATCGTTTCCAGTGACAAATTTTAGTCCTTCGTGAAATATACTTTTTTTTGTTTCCTCAGAATTTCACGAAATATCAAATTTCTTTAGCCACTAACGGTACTAGAGCATCTGCACAGGGACGCTTGGGGTTTCAGCCACATGGAGCATTACAATCTCTGCGCTTTGCTTGCTCGTTCTCCTCACTGTTGTGGCTATTCGATATGCACAACCACGAGTATTCCTTGAAAGCTCAAGCAAAATGTCTCAAGGTATGAAGCTCAATTTCTTCGAAGTACAATTCAAGGTGTGAAGATCATAAACTCTGAATTCATTTATGTCAAATGCAAGAGAGAACAACACACCTATGAATATCGATTGAATGGTGTTGTGAGCAGGTCCACCGAGATTCGTGATCCTAAACCTGGGCATGGCTCCCCAATCTCACGATGAGATGATGCGGCTTACAGAGAATCTCAGTGATAAGTACGTGATTGGCCGCGGAGGTTCGAGCACGGTTTACAGGTGTTCCCTAAAGAATGGGCATCCCATTGCGATCAAGAGGTTGCACAACACGTTTGCGCAAAATGTGCATGAATTTGAGACGGAGTTGAAGACGTTAGGTACCATCAAGCACCGAAATCTCGTAACTCTGCGCGGCTACTCCATGTCCTCCATCGGCAACTTCCTCTTTTACGATTACATGGAAAATGGAAGCCTGTATGATCATCTTCACGGTGATGCCCTGTGACCTAATCTAAACGCAAATCTAAAATCCATTCTTGTTTGACTGTTCTGCTAATTATCCGTGTGTCGTAACCAAAATGACTTGCCGCTGCAGGCCATGTGTCGAAGATCAAGCTCGATTGGAATACAAGGCTTAAAATTGCCACGGGAGCTGCACAGGGGCTCGCATACCTCCACAGAGATTGTAGACCGCAAGTCGTGCACCGTGACATCAAAGCTTGCAACATTCTCCTGGATGAAAACATGGTGGCACACGTCGCCGACTTTGGCATCGCAAAAAATATTCAGGCAGCTCGAACTCATACTTCCACACACGTTCTAGGCACCATTGGGTACATAGACCCCGAGTACGCACAAACGTCGCGCTTGAATGAGAAGTCGGACGTGTACAGCTTCGGCATCGTTTTGCTAGAGCTTCTTACGAGCAGAATGGCGGTCGACGACGAAGTGAATCTGCTCGATTGGGTACCGTTTAATGGCAGCCTTTCTAGTTCTCAGATTGATCTTGGGTTTGGTTATGGGTGGTGTTGAGAAATGGTAGGCTCAGATCATAACTGGCTTGTTTTGCAGGTCATGTCGAAACTGTTAGGGAAAACAATGCAAGATGTGGTTGACCCACACGCTCGAGCTACGTGCCAAAATCTGAACGCGCTGGAGAAGACCCTAAAACTTGCCCTTCTATGCTCAAAGCTAAATCCTTCTCATCGTCCATCGATGTATGATGTTTCTCAAGTTCTGCTCTCTCTCCTTCCTGTACAAATCGAAGAAGAGAGCCCTACTTTGAAGTCACCTTTCCCTGCGAATCAGCGTCGGTATATTGACATGTACGATACCAAGCATAAGGAAGCAATTTCTCTCAGTAAGAGCTCATCTGGCGACACTCTCCTTCACCAATTCAAGGAGGCAATATCTCGGAAACTGTGAGAAATTTCAAGGCATTGAAATTTATCTGAGATGTCCATGTTCACTCGTTGCACCCAGGGAATGGCATGCTTCAGGCTGGACGATGACGAGGCCGACCTTCGGCGTAGCTGCGATCAGAAAACCAACTCGAAGACGGTTCAACAGAGTCGTTCAAGCACAATGAAACGACATTTAAAACAGGAATCGCTTATCACGAGGATAATCTTGCCAGGAGTGTTCGGAAGTGGCGTCACGACCCAGATGGCGGCAGAGAGCTTCAACCTTGAGTCCCAGATTTCGAAGCATTCAATTAAGACTGTGGAAGGACTACTGGAGCAGTGGTGGGTCATTTGAAAGTGGTTTTTGTAGAGATTTTTGACACAGACGGGCAGGTGCAAGGAGGAGAGACAGACCTGTACAGATAGATCAGTCAAGATGAATTTTAGGTTTCCTCTTGCACTGGACTCAAGACAAAAAAACACATGGAACTTGAGCGCGTGTCTCAATTATGCTTCTCTAAAAGCGAGGAGCAACTGTTGTAATTATATACCACCCTGTTCTCCAGCTGACTCTGAATTGCATACCTAAGTCTGGCGTGTTTTGTTGCACTATTCTGGCACACACCCCCAACCACATTTGAAAATCGCAAGAAGACAGCCAGTTACACATTTCTCTTTAATTGAGCATGCTACAATGTGAACATTACCACAACCGGTGAGCTACAATGTTCCAATTAGAGTGTACAGTGTCCATTTCACAATCCTATGAGGTGTATCTCCCCAAGCATCAGCAAAGAGCTTTTGCTGCTGCTCATTCAACACCTCCCTCCCGGAATCAATAGCTTTCTGAACCGCCGACCACGAACGCAAGTGTGTTAAATATTCATTAAGCGTCGCTTGTTTTGTGGCTTCGAACTGAAACGGGCCAGTAGTTGTGAGTTTGGACCCCACGACAGGTTGAAACGGAAAGGAAATCGACTTATACTCTTCCTCAATGTAGCGCACCTGCGGGGCCCAATCCTGAAAGACCTTCTCATTGAAGTCATGCAAGACGGCATCCACAGCTGGTGATACTGACGGGGTCTGGTAAGTCCAAGCTGCGATTATGCCACCAGGCCTGCGCAGAACGCGCTTTACGTGGCCGTAGAAGTTGTCCAAGTCGAACCAGTGCAAGGCTTGGGCACACACCACTAGATCCACAGTCTCGGCATCTCCCACGAGAGTTCTCACCTCCTCTTCTGTCAAATGTGGGTTGGTGACCGCGTAGGTGATGTTCGGACGCTGGGCAGCTTGCTGGATTTGCTGCTTGCTCGCATCAGTTGCTACGACCTTCTCGTAATGATCCGCCAACTGCACAAGATTACCACAGCCTCCTTATCTCACTAACTCTCACACCCTGATCAGATTACAAGGTGAAATCCCCTTAACATGAGAACCGATCATCACATAATTGTAATACATATGACCACTGCATGACTCTGGGGGATAAACTATAAACTTTGATCGCCTGCCATGATTCTCAAAAACGCAAACCCACGCTGAGACTACCTGTCAGTCAGAAGCGACACGTTGTAGTAAAACATGGAGACCGTGGAGGATAAACAAATGAGGTTCTAGAAGCACCTGAACAGCAGCTTGTCCACTGCCGGTACCGACATCCCAAGCCACGGCGTGCGAAGGGGTGAGCGATGCCAGGTAAGAGAACAACGACTTGGGATAGATTGCTCTCGCAAGTGCATACTCTCGGGCTTGCTTCGAGAACAACGCAGCCATCGTGGCTGCGACTCGTCACAGCACCCCAACACTCTCCCCTCACCCACCTCAAACCCCTCGCAATCAACGCCTTCCACTCAACCACACGACTCCAAAAGAAAAACCCGCATCACTGCAACCATCACTGCAACAATCCACCCCACCAGAGCATTAACGGCATAATTCTGTCACCACCATCATCGACAGCAACTCCGGACAACGAAATTGATGCTGGGACATCGAAGGTGCTCAGAAAACACAGAAGAAACTTCTCCACATTTGCATTCCCCAAGATGCTAATTTTGGATGTCCCTCTTCCTACCCGAAATTGCGTACAACACTTCGACTGTTGGTTTTCATCAACAACGGGAGGGCGGTGTCTTCGACAACAAGCAATTGGAAGAGTGATGCTTGGAGAAGTTAGAATTGAGAGTGCTACAACTTAGTTTTAATGTAGCTTTTTAGAACTATTTTAAAATATATATTTTTAAAAAACATTTTTATTTAAGTTTAATATTTTTTTATGATTTAAACTTTTATTATATATATATATATATATATATATATAAATATATATGTATGTATGTATGTATTCATATGTTTATTGATTTAATAAAATAAGTAGGAAAATTTTGTAACTTTGTCATTTTTATATTTTAGCCTAGGAACATTTATTGCTATTTTAAAATATTAATATGAATATCTGTTATTGATTTTTTAAGAAATATTAGCTATTTATTGTGATAAAAGTATTAATTTTTTATGTTTTTTAATTTCTTTAATTTTAATCTTTGAGATTTTTATTTTTTTAATTTTTCTAAAACTTGTAGCAAGATTTTTTGACAAGTTTTTTTCATTGTATTTCATGTGAAAATGAATAATTTATCTTCTTTTCTAAAGATATCTATGCATCTTAAAGATTAAAAATTATTTATCTTTCAATTGATATGTTGCTTAACATAGTTTTTTTAAATAAAAATATCACTCCTCTCTTAAATATTATTCAAAAATAGAGAATGCAACTTTCTTCTTCATAGAAGATATTTTCATAAGAATTCTTTAAAACACGTTAGATAATATTTTAAATACAAATACTAAAATAGTTTAAAATAAATAAAGTTTTTTCTTTTTGAAATAATTTTTTATAAAATTATTTTATAAAATATATATATATATATATATATATATATATATATATATATATATATATATATATTACTAAAAAAATTACATAACAATCTACTAATATATAAAATATATGTGTACCTTTTTTTTACTAGCACTATATTAGATTGGTTCACATCTTTGTTGAAAAAGGATTTGGAAGTCCTTGGCAATTTTGAAAGAATATGAAGAAAACTTGGAAAAAAGTGATACAAAAAAAGTAATCCTATCTTTTGTACACTATACTTAGCATCTTATTCCACAACTATTCTTTGCATTAAATTACAGTAAAGAGACATTGGTATAAAAACACTTTTCAACGATAGATTGTTAGCACTATTTGTTAATTAAATTTTTATCAACTAAAAGAATGTAATATAATATATCGATTTTTTATAAAGAATTAGTGTATATGTATGAATGCATACAAAATTATGTGTATCTATATATATATATATATATATATATACATATATATACATTTTAAACTCATCTATACATATAAATACTATTTTGTCCAAGATATTTACAAACTGTAATGGATTACAATAAACTAATATTAAATTAAAAAAATAATAGCCTAACATCCTTTAAAAAAAAACTTAGACATTTAAAGATGAAGTTGGATGGAAAATCACTTGTTAAACTTAATCTTTAAAGATCAAATTATTCAATAACAATTTCTTTACATTATGTTGATATTTATAAATAAATTAATTAAATATTATAATATTATCTTTTTTAACATTAATTACAAGTTGTTAAAATTGTAAAACATAAATAGATATAAAACATTTTTTTCTTCAAAAATCTGAATTATATTGGTTGCTATTAAAACTACATCATTCATATCATATTAAAATAATTAAATATTTCCAAATGCATATGAGTTATTCAATATTATATTTTATTGCTCAAATAAGTATGAACATTAAAAAATAATCAAACTACTAAGTAATATTCTAACAAGATTGGATAATTTTTTGGTTGGAGTTCAAAAATAAGTTGTACTTGATTAATAAATTTATGTAATTAGGACCTAATTCTATCAAACTTCTTAACAAGTTTTTTTTTTTTCTTTTTTTTTAAAATATTTTAATAGATCTTATTATATTTATATATTACTTTGTAAATAATAGTGTTATTTAAGGTAGAGTAGTTGATAAAAAAAATTGCAATTTTGTATCTCTATTATTAGTCACTTTACATGTTAGTTGTAGCAGTAAACAAAGATGATGTATTGTAAGTATTAAATGCTTATTAATTAATGCATTTAAATTATAATTTTAATTACTTTTCTAAAGAAATATATAAGTAAATAAATTACTAAATTCCAAATGTTTTCGCAATAAAAGATACTAGATCATATTAAAAAAATAATAACATAAAAAATTTCATTATTGAAGAAATTAATTAACAATTTCTAAAATCAATTGATGCTCTGAAAAGCACTAAGAAATTTGTTTTAAATATAAAAAAATTAAGTTTTGATATAACAATTATCAATCTTATTAAATTGTCAAAAAAATGAATTTTATTGGATTTATTTTTAAATGACGTTCTTATATATTATTAAAATAAAATAAAATAAACCAAAATACTAAAATAAAATTATTATGAAATGCAAAATTATTGAAGATTCTTAAATTACCAGAATATGAAAATAAAAATAAAAGTGTTGATTTGATTAAAGATGACCTCAATCTTTCTTCTAAATGCACTTGTTAGCAAAAAAAAATCACATAAAAACATTCTAAGAATGATTAGACTTGCAAAATAAGTTGTGAGATTGCAAGACACTTCCCAATATCTTATATATATATATATATATATATATATATATATATATAAAGTTAAATGGCATACATAAAAATCTTTTTTTAAAACTTTTTTTCAATATTTCTTTTTTCAACATTTCTTGAAAAAAAAAATCATCTATACAATATATTTCTATATATTTTTATATATTTAGATAAGATAACAATTAAGCAATCACTATAATAGTTCAACAACTTTATTGAGATTGTACATACTCAAACACATTATACTCAAATCATGTCTCAGACTTGATGCCACAGTATTCTAAACAATAGATGCAAACACCAAATCACTGAGCAGATTCCGAGAACGTAACTTTGTTCACAACATGCCCCCCTCTTGATTTAGCAAAATAAAGACCCATGTAGTGTGTCAAGCCCTGCACATAAAATACAAAGTAAAAATCAAAATCAGAAACTGAATTGTATAACATTCATCAGCCCAAAAAACGGAGCATGAAATTATGCTAAGTAGATATCTGGTTTTGCCTTCATGGGCATCATTCTTGAAAGACTAAGATGAAATCAATAGAAAGGTGATACCTGAGGATGAGGCAATGCTTTTGGAATGGTTTTGGCAACGTCATTTGGCAGGTCATAGGTTGCACACCCCTCCGAGTACACAAAAACATCCTCCAAGGGCTTCAAAATACCATGGTTGCGGGCTGACAAGGCTGTCACCACGAGATCCAGCACACAGATGTCGGTGCAGATCCCCACCACAAGTATCTGCATGGTGACAGACCAACAATGTTGATTCAGAACGAAGTATGTGCAGAAAAAACAACTGTTCATGCAATGCAACTCAAGTTCGAAATGCAAAACATGCTCAGCACGTAATGAAAATAGAAAAAAGGATGGAATAGGACACTAACCTGCTGAATTTTGTTGTCCCTGATCCAGTCAATGAAAAGGTTTGAGCCATCATCTCGAATGGCACCCACGAAAGGATTAATGCAATCTTTCCGCATCAGGGTTGCGTTTGGATCGTTTTCTAACCACGCCAGCTCTGCGTTGGGGAAAAAGAAACTGAGAGCATTAGGGGAAACAATTTCACCTGATGAAGAATACAAAAGCCCAACACTGAGGTTAATGTGTTAATAGAAGCATCAGCTTGCGTATCGAGAACAGACCTGGAACAAGGTTTTCTTCTCCAGTCCCTACTATGCAATGTGGTGGAAATGGATGCTCAGGTTTATCGATTTCATGAGTGTCTAGGGTGGCGAGAATCGGCCAACTACGTGCACTGAATTGCTTTGCCAGATGATCTGTCTGGTTAACCATATGAGTGATCGCTTTCGACGATTCTTTTGGTGCCTACAAAACCAATGTATCTGCAATGAGATAATACCTACTTTGTGTACAAGAGCTGCGATTTGATGGATAAAGTACTCAGAGAGCTTACCAAGTTACCAGCTCCCACCGTACAGAAACCATTTTCTTCATCCACAATTACAAGGCCGACCCGTTTTTCCTGACACGGCAGTTCCAGAGCCTCTAATCCCAGAGGAAGCTCCACCTGTAAGTAAGACATGAAAGGATCCGCTATCACCTCCATTTCACTCTAAATCCGCCCACTGGTCTGTCAACAGCGTTAGGAACAAGTGAGATTTTTTTCTGATTCCAGAGCATAGATTTATTGATATTTACCTAGAACAGGCATACAAAAGTGAGAACGCATCTTGCGCCAGTTTCGCACACGAGGATAACCTAGTCCATTCCAACTTCAAGCCAAGGCTCCATTTGCAACGTTGTGCACCCCCTTAAAACACTTACAAGATTCGCACAGTTGATTCTCAGTAAACTAATTTCGTGAATCAGAGTGCTGAATCCCTTTGTAAAATGCAATGACCCATTAACATTCAAGGTAACAATGATTCCCAAAGCGCACAATCGAGTAACGACAATTAATAGGGAATCCAACGTGCTGTTTCTTCGACACGATTCACGAAGGTAGAGAACCACGAAACCCGACAGTGAATCTCGTAACCTCGAAGTGCCACATCGCACATGACGAGCTCACACACAGGATATCCACACAGAAAAAGAAAAAAAGAAAAAAGAAAAACTCTAGGAAAAAATTGTTGGCGAAGAGGCGCAACAGTTTTTATTAGGGTTTCCAAATATCCCACAAATTGAAAATTGAAAAGAAATCAAAAGGATTCTTGAGTAACGACAACCAGATGGCTGTAACATTGAGCTCCCCGAACAACTGTGCAAGGAAAGGGTGACCAAACAGTGTACCAAAAGTAAGGATCCAACGGTGATGGCTTAGATGTATGTGCCGATGCTTGAGGAGTTAATAGAGATGCCTGACTGGAAACCACTGCCGAGTCAAAAAGTGTCCTACTTAGTGCGTAATTCAGATTTTTATTAATAAACATTTAAGTATTGTTAATCTCATTATTTCAAGGAACAAACAAATACTGTCTTGACATTCTGAATCGTTTGTTTGCATAGATGATGAGAAACATACCCGCCAAACTTCTCGGCGGTCCTCAATAAAAAAGCGGGTCTGAGGGGTACCCTTTGGGTTTAGGGCTTTGGAGAAACTCCACAGCGCTCAGTTTTCGAGCTTTGAGATTGGTCTCAGAGCATTGTCATTGTTTCAGACTGTTAGATTCATGGCGATGGCGCCCCGGTCCATGTGGAATACCCTCGTGCAGTACAAGGTGAGGTCGAGGTGTTTGTTGTTGATCTCTTCACGCATTATTGGATACGTGTGTGATCGAGCAACTGCAATTTGGCAGGTGGGTCATCTTGATGCAGGGTTCTAGAGAGCAATCTGATCTCTTTTTATTGATGCAACAGGGTTTCTGGGATCGCAATGGTCGACAGCTATTTTCGAGCAACACTGGGAACCAGAAGCGAGGGCCTGTTATGAGTAAACCCATGGTATTTGGGGTGGAAAATATTATTGCTATTTCCTCAGGGAAAGGAGGAGTTGGCAAATCAACTACCGCAGGTACGCGCCATGGAAGGATTGCGTGGTATTGTGGTTTCCCAATTTGAGCAGCTGATTTTGAATTGATGACTGCTTCTATATGTTTCCATGTCAAGTTTTCGGTCAGTCTAGATTGAATCAAAGTGATGCCCGGCATATGCATTTGTTTCGTTTCTTGCTGTTTGTTTGTGTGTGTTTTTTTTTTTTTTTTTTTTTTTTTTTGTACTTTGATTTCGAGTTCGATTTTAATTCAATAAATCTAAAATGTATAATTTGGTCTTACATCATTTATTTATTTATTTATGTATAAGTGCGTAACGTGAAGGATATACTTCATATTATCAGATTGCCTGAGCAGTAATGATCGTTGTTCAAATTTAAGTTTTTGTATATTTTCTCGACAGTGAATTTAGCAGTAGCGCTGGCTATGGAGTGTAGACTGCGAGTCGGCTTGCTTGATGCGGATGTATATGGTCCTTCTATCCCCACTCTAATGAAGCTTGATGGACGCCCCCAGCTCGATTCAGGCACTTACAATTTTCTTCCCAACTTCCGACTTGTACAGTTTCATTTTTTCAAATTTTTTTAAATTATTGTTTTTATTATCTCGTATTCTCGAAACCCGCAGTCTGTCCCTATCTTCGTGAAATGTCTGCAATTGGTTCCAGAATTTAGTTATTATGATTGTGTCTTTTTATTTGCCGTTTTATATCACCTCTGACCACGACGTTTTGGAAACGCTTAGGGTGAAAGAGTGTAATCTAGAGGTTGATGTAAACTGTTGTACCTTGTGAGTTTCATTTTTCCATGCCTTAGAAGATGTTGTTGCGATTTCTTTTACTTTTCTGCAGAGTCAAAGATGATACCAATGGAAAACTACGGTGTGCGCTGCATGTCGATGGGGTTGCTTATGGATAAAGACTCTCCAGCTGTCTGGAGAGGGCCTATGGTAATTGTGTTTTGTTTCTGCCTGCTCTGATTCCTTTTCAATATTTCATTAAGTGCCCTGCCGAAATTTAATCTGGCACAAACCTAATTGTGTCTCATGAACACACGATGAATAGTGATTGCATGGTTGCAATCAGAATAATTGACAGAGGAGAGGAGACTCCTAAACGTGTTGAGAGTTTCTGTCCCAGTGGAAACTTGACAGGTAATGAGTGCATTGGAGAAGCTTGTACGGGGTACCGCTTGGGGAAAACTTGATATATTAGTAATTGACATGCCTCCTGGTACCGGCGATGCTCAAATTTCCATCTCTCAACGGCTTCCGTTAGCTGGTACCTCAAGATCATTGGATTGTGTTACATTTCTGGCTCCCTTGTTTTCTGTTCGGAAGATAGCATTTCATGCTTTATCTTTACTGGACACGGCTGTGTGGTATATAATGGTTAATGTTCATCAGTCATGCTTAATTCACAAGCTTTCAGAAAGGAAATTTCTCTTTGCTTGGTCTTTAGCTATGTTCAGTCGTTGGTTCTTTGACTTAGTAACTTGTGGCTGAAATTAGTGTGATCCCGTCTCATGAGCAGGGGCAGTGATAGTCTCAACACCACAAGATATCGCACTGATAGATGCCCGAAGGGGTGCAAATATGTTCCGTAAAGTGGACGTTCCTGTGAGTGACCTTGCTTATTCTTCTGTGTTATGGCTTCAACAACACCGCAAATGTAGACTTATATCCCATCATGGCTGAATCAAATGTTTGTGTGGTCTAAACGCATTCAGTTGTCTAGGTTTGTTATATTATAGTGGAAATCCATCGCGTTGACTGGGGGGTTGTACGCAGATACTGGGTCTTATTGAAAATATGAGTTATTTCAAATGCCCAAATTGTGGTGAGCGGAGTCACATATTTGGTCATGGAGGAGCTCGTGCAACTGCGGAGGAAATGGACATGAACTTTCTCGGAGAGGTTGATCTGCAATCTTTCGGGTTTACTTGCAAGTTGCTTTTATCACAATGTAACATAAAGGTACTGTAATGCTGGTTACACATCGTGATACGATACCCGTGATACTGTGCAGGTACCATTGAATGTTGAGATTCGACAGACTTCAGACGCTGGCAGCCCCATAGTAGCATCAGCACCAAATAGTGAAGCATCCAAAGTCTACAGGGGTATAGCAGTGGAAATAGCTTCCAAGTTGAAGGACTGGGTATCCTCAGGTGTGGGTGCCGGACCCCGCATAACAGTAGAGTAAGCTGTTCTTGCTTGTGGAAGACACCTTTGGAATCTGTAACTAGCATGTTTTTTTTGGTGCTGGACATAATATGCCAAGGAACTGACTACCATTTATTCAGTCAGAGGAAATAAAAGTTAAAAGGAACCACTGCTTCTTCGAATTGTGCAAAGATATGGTGATTAGAGATAACAAGTCAGCATGATTTTTTTTGGAGTGTCAATTGTTCAAAGAAGTAATGATTTTTTATGAATTATTGTCACGGATTATGAAATTATCACAAGAACATTTGTGCAACAAGTACATGATAATAGAGTGCTTCCTTAAATCAATTGAAACAATAATAGGGAGGACAGGGCTGTAAAAAGCTCGAGAGAGCTGTAAGTTTGCGAGGGAGGTTTTAAAAAGAGATAACGTGCTTTCTAAATTTTGGAGGGAGAAAAATATGTCAAATCCCATTAAGGAGGGCAAACTTGTTCTGTTTGCTCCCATGGGGGAGCAACACGATCAACTAAAAAAATCATGGTGCATTATGGAAGTTTTGTAAGTATTACAACTCTATTGATTTTAACAAGTACGTTAAACTAACTGTCTTGCAGGACAAATCTTAACACTCTCCAAAGTGGTAACTTAATGATTTTTCAAAACATTTTGGAACATTTTTCAAAACTCATCAAAGGTATAGAACAAAGTAATGCTATTCAATGCGTCGTTGTTGAAGAACTGCGTCCTACCTGGAACTTGAGAACTGTTGGTATCACTGGCCAACTTATGGATTTTGCACCCTGGACAGCTGCCCCCACTGAGGATTTATCATAAGCATTGCTGAAGCATGCTTCTACAGGTTTAAAACACGCAGTTCCTTAGTTAACTGACGCAATTTCTAAGAAAAGTTTAGTCCATTTTGTGGCTATAACTCTCCCGTTTGAGGTAGATCTGGCTTACAGGAGTTAAGATAAACATCTTGACCCCATGAGAAGGTACCTCTTGGCAGATCTCGTACATTTCAGCCTCGCTTATTGTTTCATGCTGCACGTTCAATCCATCCACACTAAGAAGTTTCATCATATAATAAACAGTACTGCTCTATCATACCTGACAAATATGAGCATACAAGTATGAAGTCCCTACCTTCCAGAGGTCTCTAACAGTTAAAAGGGTATCATTTGGAATCCCCATGTCAGACCATCTTGCGGTGATGTTGGCAGATTCGCTGCTTCGGTTCCACAGTAACAATACGACACGGCCCGAAGACAGCGGCCCCGACCATACCTGTGAATTAATAACAATATTTTAGTGCTGTAGTCTAATCAAGGCCGAGAACTTTACGGATGATCGCATTCTTCACAACTTGGAAGATCTATGCTACGACACTTACAAAATAGAAGTACGAGGGTTCACAACTGTAAAAGAACATGAAGGAAAAGCATATATTGCTCACCTCAAGCCCACTGAATCCGTCCATTCGTACTCGTTTCCCTTGTACCCCAAGGGGGTCTGCGCAAAGTAAAGCAATCACATGCCAGTGACAGCTCAGTTAGAAAACAGTAATGCTGTTCGTGAATGCTCATTACATGTGATGCAGGTCGACCTCGCTAAAAATTGAGGATAAATGATTACCTTTCTAAACTAATTTCATCTATCCTTGCCGTTTATTACGTGTTCTGCATCTTTGTTACTCCACTAGAAATAGAACTTACCTTGATTTACTGCTATGACTTCCTCATTTGCAAGAATCTCAAGAATTTCGGCCCCAATGTTGCGCACATCACATCCAATAAGAAGTGGTGCCTGAAAACATACAATTTCACAACAGCAAGTTGGAACTTTCTGGCTCACAATGTGACTCAACATCACCAGGCTTCATAAGAATCAATTTTTGGTCTCATCAGAAATGTGAGGAGTGGCAGTTTTACAGCGGAAGGTTTCTTCAAGTATCACCTATTCTTTGTCATGTTAATGATAAAACATCACCACTGAAGCATTACATTCTAAACCAACGATGAATACGAAAGATCTTGCCTTCATAAGGGCCCACAAACTGAAGTGAGATCGATATTCTTCTACCGTCATTCCTCCATTGCCAACTTCTAACATGTCAGGATCTGCATGAAGAACCCGCAGTTAGACAGATGCTATAGTAGCACAGATAAGAAAAATATTAATCACGCTGAAAAGCAACGTGAAAGAAATACGCCAATAAAGCAGTAAAGAAATGCAAGAAATGAGTGTTACCATTCCAACCACCAGGTGCGGCGTAGTCCGCCCATACGTTATTCAATTCAACAATACCAACCATGCTGCATAAATCGTAAAATTAAATAAGTCTACATAAGAGGAATATAGAGCAGACAGCCTAACTCCCAGGAGCAAGATCACGCATATCATATTCTCATACAACGGGATCTCAACTTGGTGTTCAAAATTCGTGCAGGGAAATGATACATGCAACAACAAACGGCAAGTCGATATTTTTTACCTATTCCAGTCGTCAGTAATGTCACCAGTTGTGCGCCAGCTGTTTCCAACATTATTTGCCCATGTTGCTGGACTGTCAATACCCCTGCACCAAGAATCCATAACTATCAAATGTATTCCTGAGTATCATGAACGACAGCCTCTCAACAAGTCTATGCCAACGACAAAAAAATTATATTTCTGTAGTTCAATGATCGAAGCTATCAGTAACAGCACAAGAAAATGAGAAGAAGCATCCAAAACTCACCATTCACACATTGAGAAGAATATCGGACGACCTGTTTTGTTCAAAGCATCCCGCATGACAGGATACCTAAAGATCTCAATCAACAAGCAATCATTCAGATGTAGAACAAGAATCTAAATTGGTGACAGTAGAAGCTTATTCACTATCGCGCAAAGAATCAACCCGCTCATAATTTACTACGCCCTTGCAGATAACATACTAGTTCTACTATCTAATACTACTATCTAAGTGCAAGATTGAGAGTATGCGAGTAATTCACGAAAGCGATAATAGTTTTCCCATACAACTAACAAGCACAATCGAGTGCTACATACCAGCTCAACGCTAACCCAAGAGTTCAGGTTCATACATGGTTAATATAGAAAAACATTCTTAGCTGAGCATCCACTTACCTGTACTCCGGTTTGGTTCCATCGGTAAAACAGTTATCATACTTGAGATAGTCAATTTCCTGAATTCAATTCAGATCAATTACATCAAAAGAGACACCCAGGATCCTAATTCTACAGCACGTTACTACCAAACAGATGACCATTCTCGACCTGTGAATGATTGTGAGTATAGCACTAGTAGAAAGGAAGCTTGCCCATGAAGCAAATGTCTGGGCATCTTGAGTCTCGTGCCCAAGCGAACCTGGCTGGGATGCACAAGTGTAATACCTGAAATATACAAAAAAATTAGCATCACAATTGATTTTGAAATTGAATCTGGAAATGTAACAGGCTTCAATAAATACCACGAGATGCGAAGGTGAGCTGTACAACTATTAAGTGATAGACACTACAGCTCAATAAGAATACTTCAGGTACTATTATACAGAGGCAAAAGTAGAAAAATGACTAGACACCTGACCGGCGTATATTTCGAAATATACGTTTAACGAACCTTGATAATGGGTGCAGCAAGCAAACTCTTGAAAGTAAAGAGTAATCCACCACATAATGCACTCACCCAGCATCTGAGTATATTCCAAGCTTAAGACCCTTGCTATGCACATAATCTGCCAGTGCTTTGATTCCTGAAGGGAAAGTCGTCGCGCGTGCCAGAAGGTTACCCTGTCATTGAGGCATGCTTCTTCAGAACAGACTAAAACAGAATCCTGTCTACAAGCACACATCGCAACCTAAAATCATAGTTTCACACACACACACACACACAAGCATGAATATGTGTACGTATATATATAGATAGATAGATAGATAGATCGAGAGAGAGAGAGAGAGAGAGAGAGAGAGAGAGAGAGCTGTAGCGTTAGACTTCTCGTCATGCCATAGAAATACTTAAGCAGCTAGCCATAATACCTATCAGAATAATGGTGAATGCTTACTGACCTGACTGTCACGCTGCAATGCAGCCCAGCAGTCATCTGTCACCATTCAGAACAAGAATGCAGATCAATGGAACGCATTCAAAAAGCTGTTCTAAACGACAAATTCGTCACAGGGCATAACAAAATGAGCATGTCTAATACACACAAATAAAACTTGCACGAACATTTTTCCTCAAAAGGAATAAAATACACCAAGCAACATGGTCACTTAAATGGACTTAGTTTAGTTACCTAGGTTGATGTATTTGTAACCCTTGGCAGCTAGACCTGTTGATACGAGCGCATCAGCTGCAAATTCAAAACGTAAATCAGAACTATAAAAAATAATATTCCCATCTTTTCTGAATTTTCAAGTAGCCAAGCCTTAACCCATCTGGATGAGAAGGTTGACCAAGTTCCACACCTTGAAAATTGGAACCCAGTGAACTCAGCTCACACATACACCTACTATGTGCTGCGGCAAAGCTAACCTGAAGGTACATACCTGTTTCAAAAATAACAGTCTCGTTCACATTGCAGGCGAAGTGATTCCAGCTGTTCCATCTGTGAGTTAAACAAACAAGAAATTGGTGGGGGACATTTTCATTTAGAAGCGGTTACCACGATCTCATCCCCCACGTTTAAAACTCAACCATTCAACGGTCTTGTTTTGCTCATAGAAGTCATGCACACACAACTTCATGTGGGAGAATCTAGCTTGATAGAAGTTGTGGGAGGTTCTTCAAAACGCGTATACAAGCATTTCTTTTACCAGCAACAATCATTGAGAAGCAAGAAAAGTTCAAGCACAAGGTTGCCCTAATCATGCAGGATATGGCATTGATTAGGAATATCATGGAGCATGATTATGAACACAATTTGTACTCAACTGAAAGATTTCGCAATTTTAACTATCTTTCAAAAGCCCGTATACAGAGAGACTGTTCACCACGAATGAAGCGACAATAGTAGCAAAACAGCAAATGGAGATACACGGACTGAAGCCGAAAAAGGCCAGCCTACCATTGAATTTCTATTCATCAAGCAGTTCATTTTCAAATCCAAATCAACTCCAACAACACCGTTCGCAGTTTGAGTAGCAATTACTAAGACGATTGGAATCATGAAACATAATATTTCGCAAACCATGTCAACCACGTCAGAAGTAGAAATCACACTGATAGACAAAGATTTCAACACTGACCAATATCAACGTCCACCCAATTGTTGGGATACTAAGTATTCAAGATTCAATACGTTTCATAAAGCCTAGCCTCCAAACAACGCGGACTTCGGAAGAAAATCAAATTCACAAAGTTCAGAGAAATCAGTGCTTCAACATTACATTCATCAACTCGTGCATTTGGTCACACCCCTACACCGCGCACACCAAAATAAAATAATAATAATAATAATAATAATAATAATAATAAATCATTAAATGAAAAAAAAAAAAAAACAATCTACAACTTCAGAGAACCGAACTGAGAGTGCCACAGCTGAGTTCATCGTGTATGAACCCCACAACGATCATTCAAACCACATCAATTCTGACAGATACCAATCAAGGTGGACGAAATACCCCATGGGTGGAGTCGAAGCGAGTCCATTGTCTAACCGCAGCTGGTGGCGACTCACCAAGGGCGCTACAGAGCTCGGAACCCCTTCCGGAAACTGTCGCCGGGGAGTTTGAGGCGATCGCAGCGCCGTATGACGATCTTCAACACAACTAACGACCAGCAGAACCGACGACAGCAGCCCAAAGACCAATCTCAGGTTCGCCATAGCCACAACCACATTTTTCGTCATCCTATCGCCCAATTCAGCTGTTGATCTTCTTCCCATCACAAATGCCGTTGGTTTGTGAGGTGCACGGGGATCGCTATTTCATTCTCTGCACCCTCATGCATCATCCTGGTCTGCATCCTGATGTGCCCCACACGTCACCGACCCACTAACCAAAAAACCACACGTCTTAAAAAAAAATTCAACAAACGAGAGGAATCGGCGTCTGTGAAAAGCGAAGTGATGAGATTTGCTAGAAGTGAGAAGTGTCGGTGATGGGATGGGGTGGGGTGGGGATGGAGTGAGAAGTGCGGTGCCTCGGTTGTTGCTCCTAGAATACATAAAAGAAAAATAAAAATTCAAATTTGGGGGGGGTGGGGGGGGGGATAAACCAACCCGTAAAACCCCCCCCCCCCTCCCCCGCCCTTTTGAGAAAGTGAGAGAGTGATTCCCCTGAAGCTGTGTGAGAGAGAGAGAGAGCATTGCATTGCACGCATGTGAGGAGGCTCTGTCTCTCTGTCTCTCTTTCTCTCTATCTCTGTCTCTGTTTGTGTGGCCTGCCTTTGCTTCCATATCCTGCATCCCACAATTGTTGCCATTATTGTTGTTGTCGTTTTCGCTGCTGAGGTATCCCTTCATCAACGTTTCCATCATCTGGGATTCATTTCCTGCCCGATCAACGGCATGAATGAATAAGTTCTGCATATTATTCCAATGTCTTTTTAGAATTTCGTTTAAAAAGCTATTGTTGTCGTAACAAGTATATGGCATGTATTTTACATGTGTGACATTTTTATTTAATAGTGGTGTTGAATTTATTTATTTTTTAAATAAAAATATTTTACATGTTTTTAGTTTTAATATTTGTGATTGGTTTATATATATATATATATATATATATATATATATATATATATTATTTATTTCATTTTGTGTAAGTATTCATTGGAAGGATAATATTGTAGTTGGAAATTTTTATCCTTTTGACTTTTTTTTTTTTTTTTTTTTTTTTCCTTCTTTTTTTTGTTACTGTGTTTCATTTATTTATTATTATTTTGAGGTGATGTTACTTTTTTGGACAATGTTAAGCAATTTAGTATGTTGAAGTTTTGTACAATACAAATATGAACTTTCTTGACAATATTAAAATTTTCTTGTCATGTAAAATGTTTAAATAGTACTTCATTGATTTTCATATTGTCCACTTTTGATTGAGCATTTTGAGGACCAACAACAATTTTTATAGAAACATTGAAGCTCTAAATGTCCAAAATATTAAATAATAAAAAACTAATTGTTGCACCTAACAATAATATTAATTTTTTGGTTCAATGTTAAACTTAATTGAAGATCATACATCTTGATTTGTCCAATTTGTAAACATCAAAGAATCTTTTTATAAATTCTACAAAACTTAATTATTTTTGAAGATTTAAATACTAAATAATAATTGTAAAGATTTTAATGTAAATCCTAAAAACCTTAATTCAGTTTTAAAAATTTTCATATTTTAGATCTCAACTCTTAAAAAAGGCCCTTATTCTAAATTCAATTAACTTATATGAAAATCCTCCAAAACCATCATCAAAATTGTAGGATTTCAATCTTTAGCTATAAATTTTTTATGCAAATTTTATAAGTTAAAAAAAACTTTTTAATTTTTCAATGCTAATTTTAAAGTTTCCAATTACATCCAAAGGTTCAATTTTCAAATCTTTACAATATTGATCTAATGTTTTCAAAATACTAAATATAAATCTTAAATTTTTGTTGTTTCTTACAATTATTGAGAATTCTTGTCAAAACTTAACATCTAAAATATAAACTCAAAGTATTTAAATTTTAATCTAATTAATTTTGATAAATAATAATGATTAAATCTCAGATTCTAAAAAACCAAACTTGTTGAAGAAGTTTATGAATGAAAAAGTAAAATTTATTAAGAATTTAACTAAAACTTTTAAAAACATGACTATTACTCTATAAATTTTAAACTTTGAATTTTACATTTTAAAACTTTAAAAATCAATATATAAAAATCACTTAAATATTTGGTACTAAAGATAAAATAAAAAATATATTTTTAAATTACATGTTTTCTAATGATTTTTTTTTTTTTTTTTATCTTTTTTATAAATATAAATAAGATTATCAAAAATTGAATTATATATATATATATATATATATATATATATATATATCTCTGGACATGTTTTTCACTTCAAATGATATTTTACCTCTATTATTGTCACGTTAATTCTTAGTCTAATTTATTCATCCAATATGTTTTTAAATAATTTTACTTTTTCATTCATAAACTTTTTATAGATTAAAATTTATATATCTATATATATATATATGTGCAAATAAAACTATCATTAAAAATTGAATATTTTGATCTACACTAAGTAACAAAGAGGTCATTAATGCTTATTAGTAGATATGATATTCTACCAAGGTGACAAATGATTGATGACTTCCTGTGATGAAAATATCAACACGCACAGCATCCAAATCCACAGTTCTAAAAACAATCTCTCAGGAACCTATTCTTTTTTACTGCATATTTGTTCGGTATGTTACTAAATTATATTAAAAACATGACTCTAAATGTGGCTATTCTTGGATCCACAATGACTCTTTTATTGCATTCACCACGTGCCATCTTTGTTCAGTCCTGCTCACCAACAATTAAGAAGATGATATTTTCCCTGTAGACTTCATATCCCATGATGGAAAAAGAAAAAGGACGCACTCCAATTTCCTCATTGGACGTCATCAGCAGTTTTCATACGCATTAAACTAATCCACTGAATTCTGAATAGTTTCTCTGGATTCATCAAACTCTGACAAGCAGTCATCATGCAACGAAACGAGATCACATGCTACTGTACGGGTTTAAAAAAAATGTTGTTTTCAGTAAAATCAGAAAGTGATTAGAACATTATAACGCAACCTTGAATATGTAATGAGTACATCGATATAGGATTGCTCTCCAAAGCTGCCTGCATTTTTTCTCAGTCTCTTGTACTAGTTGTCACACTCGCGGGTAAAATGGAAGACTAGAAAGCAACCTGTTACGTTCAATGAAGGTGAGAAGCTGATGTGATTTTAAACTTCTTATTAAATGTTGAAAAGTCCAACACCTTGCAACTCCGGACAGAAAATAACCACTTCGCTCCTCCTCAACGTGGGAATCTACCACGCTGCCTGAAGCGGGTCATAAACATTGGCATTGACGGCATTTGTATGCAATGTTCATACAAATGAGCTCGTAACATGAAAGAAATCGGAAAGAAAAAGTAGGACGATTGTGGATTTGCTCACCTACTCAAGAACGTCAGCTAGATTACTTTGTATTTTTCTCGTATTGTTTGTTGACCGATTCCTGTTAACCTGTTTCTGTTAACCCGTTCCCGATTCCACCACAATGAAGCAGATTACCAAGTAAACTGAACTTTACAGACCACATGCACTAGACAGATATCAAATGCATCCCCGTTTTGTGAACAGTTGAAACTTGAGATTGTCAACGTTGAGAATACATGGGAAAATATTTGTAAATGCACACACACAATTATGGAAGAATTAAGTATTACACGCACTAATAGGGCTTGGATTTGCGTAGTTTAAAGCAGGATACACGAACCCAAAAGGTCGGAAACATTTAGCTGCCTGATATATCTTAGTTACCTCGGCTGTTGAATCAGGACCTTAATAATGGACCTTAGTGAACTTTGAGTTGCAATATTAAGCAGTATTCGAGGAAGAATCATTATTCACGTGACCTAGATGAGGGGGTGTTGCGATACTCCCCAACCTAACAGTCGGGTTCAACCACCAAGTTAGTTTGATGAATTCAATTCACAGCTATATGATTCAGTCTAGGTACTACCACCCACTCTACATTCAACCCCAAGCGCTTCAGCGTTACAAAAACGTGAAGGGTTGGGCAACAAGATTTGTTGTCTCTCTGATTTGCAAAGATATTCCAGGTTTGAACTAGCTTCTCGGTTAACCAATTATTCAGCACTTCAAAAAGGCACGAATCCATTCCTGTTAGTAAAGTTCCAAAATAGCTGATTAGTACATGACCATATGCTGCATATATAAGAAAACAGCGGCGCATTTTCTTTAATGCAACAACCTGAACGCGTTCCTCCAGAAATAGTTAGCAAAGAAAAAGACAACAACCCCCAGGATGTTACTGCAAGATTAAGAGTTTGCAAGGCATATCGGCGCGCTATGTCCCTTGTAGCTCTCACACTCCTCTCTTCACGAAATTATCAATTTGACATGAATGTCAATAGTGTCTATTCTTCAAATAGCGCTTAGCATCTGTCAATACGGTTACTTCCTCTCGAAACCGCAAACAAGGCAGTATTGAAGGGCGGACTTGACCCATGTAGGCACATGAGGCAAATACACATCCTAATTTCGGATTCAATGTTCAGGCCATTTAGCACATTTTTAAACCTCGATATAGGAAATCTATACTACTGAAGAAATTCTACATTGCTAACTTCACATTGTGCATTTGTATCAGTCCTATTGTAGATATGTATAAGCTATAGTTTCTGGAAAACTTAAATAGTTAGCTGGAGTGCACTGTGCAAGTTAGAATTCTATTAGCCCTAATTTAAGTGAAAATTTTGAAAGTTTTAAATTTTATCGAGTGGGAAAACTCAAGTCGCAGACTAGTCACATTGGTGATTCCTTTAACAATTTGAGTACTTCTAAATCAACTAAGATGCTTTGGCAAGCAATTTCAGGTTGCTAAGTTAACAGGAAAATCTATCGTCCAAATTATACATGCAAGGATCTGCACATTTCCTTCATCCCTAAACAAGTTTGCTTCGTACTAAAGATGAGACTCCAATTATTGACCTACCACTAGAACCCCAAAACTGAAAAAAGGTCCTTTCAGAGGATTAAATCACAATAATTAACAAGGGAGATAGAAACTCAATGCTGTGTGCTACGGCGGGTGTTTTCACCTCCAAATTCCACAGTAGATACTCCAACCAAGCAATGAAGCAGCCATCCAGGCAATTCAAATCTTTGGGGTGCAGTTTGTGAGCATTTTCGTCTGAGACGGACGCCATTATCCGTTGCTTTCAAACCCTATCCTTGGCAAACTTCCTTGTGCATGTCCCCTTTATAGAACCAAGTCCGGCCTGAGGTTAATTAACAAAATCAGAAAATGTCCCTCGCAGCTAGACCAGAAAAGTCGAACAAAAAATGCGATGAAAGTAGAAAAAAACCCAATACAAAATAAATAATCCGCCAGCTCTTACCAAATAAGCTTTAGAAGTATAGAATGATATCAGCCTCCTTTCTCGGCCAAGGGAGACAGACCGGCATCTAACTCCACGAACCACAAGTTATGCGCACGAAAGCGTTTGATCTTCTGGTCGAAGCCAACCACGTAGTTGTTGTGCACTATAACATGTTTGTTTTCAGTCTCTTTACGCCAGCTGTCGTTCTTAAAGTACAATCCCCCAGACGGAAACGCCACTTGGGGTAACAAATAAACATCAACCTTTTTCCAAAAAAAAAAAGTGACAACATCTGCAGTTCGTTAGACATTTAGAACAACATGAACCGATACATTTATCAGAGATAATCTGCAGTTACTACCTACGTCATAGAACTAAATTCTTTCAAAACGAACACTAATCGTCACCAACAAAGAAGCACTGTGCCCTAAAGTACAATTTCAAACATGAGGTAAATACTGTGGCGTGCACCCACCTGGCCTGCTGTTTTATTGAGAGCCCAATTGAATGCGGGTTGATCATTGGTCTTCACACTCGGTGACCATTGCCGCTCTTTAAGCTCTTCGATCCATGTTCGCATCAGCAGCTTCGCACCTTCCGTAGACTTCAGAAAAAGCATGCAGCTGCAGATATACGTGCGGCCCTTCTTCCCTGGTGGCGGTAAAGCATGTGAATGGTACTCTGTTTTCAACTGCCAACGCCAACAACCAATCTAAATAACTGGAAAAGAAGCGGCGATGAACTTGGAATGTGTTAAGATTTTTCCTCTCGAAAGAAAAGAAGTCCAACAAGAAACTACGAGGTATCGCTACAGACTTCTGAGCTACTAAATTACAACAAGATGACGAGGCCAAAGAGTACCAGTGCCATGTCATCTATGATGTAGACTTCACGGTTATTCTTGAAATAGCTGAAAGGATCAGCAAGCCACACCATATCGACGTCATTGTACAGGACGCTGTAACCTAGCTCCAAAATTTCCAGTAGGTATTTGGGCCTTCGCGCAGTCAGATTGAAAAAACCCTGTACATCAAACCACGCTCATTAGTTTGAAATCTCAGACAAGCGGCAGGAAGAAATGGAATCAGAATGCAACCAAAATATAACGTCCTGCCAAACATGTGACATCTCGTTTTTAAGTAAGATAATCATTAGGTGAAAAATAAAACGAAAATAAAAAGAAGGAAAAGGTGGAAGAAGAAGAAAAGGTGGCTCATTTAATTACAGAGAATGTGCTAAAGGTTCCTAAACTAATCAAAAGCTGCTCCTTAGGGCATAGAAATGTTTCACAAGTAAGCTGCTGTAACCAGGATGTCATTGGAGTGCTTAAATTTTTCTTTATTTGAATTAGCACACACATACCTGCTCACCTGAGAGCCAAATCGAAGACTAGTCGTCTCTGAAGAAGCTGGTGGTATAAGAACAGAATGGCCCGGCCATCTCGAGTTCACAAAATCAAGAGTTGTATAATCCTCCGCAATAATGAGCACTGCCTGGTGACGATTGTATTTCGCCAGGCTTATAAGCCAATTGTTAAGAAACGGCATATAAGGATGACTCACCGTGCACACAATGAGTATCCCATCAACAGCCAGCGCCTGTCTCCACATATTTGTGATTCATTTTATAAGAAAGCAAAACTTTTACGAAGTAGGAAGGTGGTTATCAGAAGCACTACAATTGTTCAAAATAATAGAATGAGTTCATGTATTTATGGCATTCCAAAATCAAATAAGTAGATTACCTGCGCAGCCTGACGCAACGTGTAGCTCCTCCAGTTCGGTTGGCCTAAGTGCAAGTTGGCCGTCCAGGACATTCTTGGCACGGACTGCAACGAGTGCGCAGCAACCGGTTCATGATTGGAGCGCGTCAAGATTGGGAATAAGACCCAAACCGACATCAACGCCACGAGAATGAACAAGAAAACTCGGACGCTGGTCACCGCGGGTAGAGAAATCACCGAACGAGGTTTTACCGACGACGAAAAGCGCTCCAATACATCCGAAGCTGCGTGGGAGGAAGGACACAACTCAGGATCGTATCCATGCGCCAATGCGGATAGCCCTCCAGCAGACGATCGCACCATTCTCCTCCTCCTCCTCCCCTCCACAAACCCCCGCTCCCTCCCTCCTCGTCTCCTCAGCTGTACTACAACAACAACGGACTTACTTACTTACTTACTTACTTACTCACTCATTCACTCACTTACTTACTTACTTACAACGGCGCCATCCCCGTGCTCTCTCTCTCTCTCTCTCTCTCTCTCTCTCGCATTCGGAAGTTAGGCTTCCGTCCTGCTCCTCCTCCCCCTCCTCCCCCTGCTCTTGCTTGGTGACGAAATCAAATCAATATGCATATCTGAGTCACTCAGTGGCTGCGCCGGAATGGTTTCCAATAGAATCGGCACCTCCGCGACAGATAGATAGATACTTCTTCGTCTTCATAATAAATCCGATCGGAGGCAACAGCGGAGCCAGGAGAAAGCTTGACAACCAACACGCAATACTACTCGACTTTATATACTCTTCACTACTCTCTAATTCTCTCTCTCGCTCCCCGACACCGCCCGGGACTTGCCTGCGTCCTCTGTTCCGAATGGATGGATGAAATTGTATTGAATGAATGTATGGATGGTCTTTGACGTTGTTCATTTCGTTTTCATTCATCTACTTCTCGAGGTCTGTGGTTTTGAGATAATTAGGATGTGAAATGCTTTTGAGTTGGAAACCTTTTTAAATATTTTCCATGTAATTAAGAGAATCTTTAATATCGAATTTTTGGTTAATTTATATCCGTTAATCTACCTCGCCACAAGCATTTCGAGGCCCATTGCTTTACAATGTAACTTCCAAAGCAGTGGGCTCCCTTATATATATATATATATATTTATAAACAAACATTTATAAAAGCAATTTTAAATTCTCTCAATGAAGTTAGCAAATAATTGGAAATCTTAGTTTTTTCTATGAAAACAAATCCGTGTAATGTGTTTTTGCTATTGAACTTGTTCAAAGATCTAAGTTCAAACTTGAAATCAGGACCATATATTTTTTGATAAATCATATCTTCTAGGTGGAAAATAACCATATCCACCTTATGATATTATGGCAATTTTGGACTCTTCCCTAATGCGTTAATATTTATGAACAAAAATGCTACCGTATTTGTAACTAAAAGTGTGACCGTATTTTTATCGGTGGCCTGTGCGGAGATGTATAAAAATCATCCATGGGACGACATTCATCAACAATCGAGCAGTTTTTTTCGTCCAGGAGAGCGTCAGTGCCTCATCCTGTGCAGCGGAGTGCTTCATGTCCCTTCCTCGAGGCCGATCCTTCGTGATCAAGTGGCTACGGCGAAGACCTCACCACAATTGGTGCAATCTCTCTCGAAATTGCTGATTTTGGGAGGTGGGTTTCAATGCGCGGCTCGAGAACACCCCTTGAAGCATATGGGTTCCATTGACAGGCAATGTGGGTTAACTTCACACGTAAAATGCGTGTGTGTATGTGTGTTAGCCCTATTCGTGGATGAATCGACCCGGTTTAGGGTTATGGGAGATTACGGTTTCGAGAAGTGATAAGTTTCTGGTGTCTGAGTTCGTGCGCTGCAGACGACCGAGGAACAGAAACCGAATTTCTTTGTGATTTTGCACTTGCAGGTGAAATGTGCTGAGTGTGCCCTAATTTTTGCCCTTTGAACCGTATAGGAAAATGAGTTTTCGTAGGAAGTTGACGTCGTTGCTAGTGCTTGGAGTTACTGGAGTTGGAGCGTTGAGCATTTGGGATGACTATCTCATCTTCCACCAATGCAGCAAGTTAGTATTTATTTCACTCTTTCTATGATTCTTGTTTAGTCAGATTTTTGAGTTTCAATGAATTTTCAAGAACAGGAAGGAAGTCTTTTCGCACGTTGGCGTAATTACACGTGTTGATTATGATGCATGCAATTTTTCAGACGTTGGATTTATTACTTCAGTCTTAGAAGCCCTTAACTGATTCCACCAGGAGCAAATGTAAATTGTATCTTCGATTTGGAACTTGAAATTTCCGTAACTTGGAAATTGAAACCTAGTGAATTGAGAATTTCTCCGAGCTTATGTTGTTTCCGAAAACTGCTAGAACTTCAAATGCCCTATATTGCGTTCTCTAGTTCTGAATACAGAGGGATTGATTGACCAGGGGCGCTTTGGATATTGCAAACTCCGATTCTGAGCTGAAAACAATTTTGGGAGAAAATATTGCGCAGGGACCTTTGTATGCTGCCACCATGGGGTTAGACCGTGAAGGTAACTCCGCTCAGTGTAGTTTTCCTGTAACGGGTAGCTTGGACAGTGGAAACCTCCATCTTCGAGCAGTCCGGTATGAAGGTTAGACCCTCCTTATGCCTCAAACTTCAGCTTATTAAAGTTTGGGTTATAGCTTTTGAACATGCTATGTTCTGTCCTGGCGTTTTCATATCTTGACAGACCTATTCTATTCCAATCAAAGTGGATGGAACTGCTTCTCTTCCTCCTAAAACCGAACGTATCATCTGAAGACCATTTGATGATATTACCAATGTTGCGAAGAGCAATTTGAGATCAAGAGAAAAACTTCCTAATCTGCCTGAGGTGGCCTTGAACTTCGTTCCGTGCCAAAACTGGAGTGATGAATGCTCATCGGATTATCCTTCCATTGCGTTGCAGAGAAGTACAAGTGGTTGACGCCCTACTTCCCTGGATTCTCTGGCGGACGATGGGAAGTTCTAGTGTTAGAGGCTTTGGTGCCGACCAATAATCCACCGGCTCGGCAGCGCCTCAACCTTATTCAGAGAAAGCCAAAGATCGGAGATGGAGGAGGTGGAGGACCCTGCGGAACGCCCAGCACCATAGGCCACCACGAAGTCTGATTTCTCCTTCCTCTCTACCGTAACTCTACAATTCTTAAGTAGCGATCCAAGTGTTGAATCAGCTCCTTCATTTTGAAAAGATTGAGATTTTCGTTTCTGTGCATTTGACTATCACTACTTGACTGCTTGCACATGTGCTCTTGTGTCGACATCACTTTTCCTTCTTCTGTTTGCTGAGATTCTGTCTCCCTTTCCGTTAAAAAATACCTGCAAAGTACAAGCGCCAAGTATGTTGATCAAATGATGCCACTACTCAAAGGTGAGGGAGAATCCAGTTTGCCAATGTCTTGGGAGCTATTTCTATGTCTAGGGAATGATGAATATTTGTCGGTAGTTGTATAATGTGTATCATTACATTCTAACTTAATGTATATAAATACGTGTCATTATATCCAATGTAAAAAAAAATATAGCCTACAACAATTTATGTCTTAATACTTGCTTCTGTTAAATAATCATATGGTACTGTTTTGCTTGGCTATGTAAGCAAGTAGATTGTGTAATTGATTTTGGCACTAAAAATGTATGTTTGTTATTTTATTTTATTTTATTTTACAGTTCTCATGATTTGCCTCATCATAACAAGTATAAATCGATTCTCTACATAATTTTTAAATCTGATTTTTTGGGAGATTATTTCTACATCTATTTATTGGTCAATTTCGATTCTTAATTATAACATAATATATAGTATTGAAAAATGGCATTAATATAGCACCAATTCAATTGAAATTTATGTATGTATAATTTTCATTCCATTGTTATAAAATATCCGCATACATACATATTCTATTTAAAATCATTGTTATCCTTAAAATTAATTTAATATGAGTCTAATCATAACTTAAGAATCCTTATTCTAAATAGTTTTTGTATTAATTAACACGAAACGTAGTGTATATATATATATATATATATATATAATAAACAAGTTATTTTTGTATAAATCAATTTTAAATATAATAATTTTTTGGTAAATGAATCAATGGAAATATGTGCCATTAAACATGAAAATATTCCACAAAAACATCTAACAAACAATAGAAAAAGAATCTTCTCATTCCATCAAATCATCCTAGTCATGATCAATCTCAATTCCAAATGATTAATTTCCAAGCTCAATTTGAAACTCCAAACTATAAAATGCTCAAGAAAGCATCACAATATTTACTAATACCAACCAAAATCTAAATATGTAATGAAGACAAATAAGAGATGTATACAACTTAGCAAAAGAGCTTTAAAGATTTAAAGATAATCTTATTAAAATGTCATCTTTAAAGATTATTTCAAATTACTTTGCTTTGGACCAAATTATTGTGAATGAACTATGCATGATGTTAATTCATAAAAATCAACTACAAAGCGGCACTTTGACCTTCACAATGGAATAAGATCACCAAAACTAGATTATAATAATGAGTTTAAGCCACAAAGAATGTTATCTATGTCACCATCAATATTGTGCACCAAAAACTTCTCCTATCAGACAAACTTTCACCTCTACTTTGTTAGTTTTAACTTTTAATTGTAGAGGTTTAAAGTTGAGAATGTAGTATAGTTAAGATGATAGTTTTGAAAATCTCATCTTGTTGTAGATTGAACTATGAGCAATTGTTTGAATTGAGATAATGAGTCTTGATTAGTATTCTATTTTAAATGCAAAAAATATTCATAGAAGGCTTGCTTTTTTGATACCTTCAAACTATTAGTTGTAGAGACTTAAAAAAATAAAAGGCATTAAGATAATTAGAGTTGATGTAGAGCTTTTTTCTTACTAATGGAGTTACTTTACATTACTTATTAGCAATTAAAATACAGTTAAAAGTACAATGCCTCTCTATTAGAACAAAATATTTATTAACCATATACATAGGTATAATTATTTTAATAATATCAAATATTCATCCAATTAAGGGGTCACAATATTCTAGTTATACCTCCCTCAACTAAATAATTCTTGTACCACATAAAATACATTGTGATACTTAATTATTATTTTTATACATACTCAATCTACAATTCTAATATGATATTAGAGCATAACTTTGCATATTTTGATATAGAAGTTCTAAAAAAGCAATAAACAATGACAAGAGAAGGAAGCTATGTAGAAGACGTTCTTCACAAAAATTGGAGCATTAGTAAACTTATTTCCTCTTTAACATAGCAATAACTAGTCTTTCAATTAAGAACTCGCCAAAATTTGATGGCTCTTGGTATATAGTTTAGAAACAAAAAATCCAAATGAAGTTTGAAATGGAAGAACTATAGGAGTTAACACTTATCAAAGAAAAAACACTAGTACCTATTCCAAAAAACAATGCACTAATATCAACACCACTAACAAATTAAGTTGTAAAAAATCTTTACAATCAAGAAAAATAAAATATTCAAAATGATTCTTTAATATTGGCACAATACATCACTTAGCTCACAACAAAAACCAATTAATTAGTTTTGAAAAATTATCATTAGAAGGAAATAAAATTTACCTTGAAGATAATATAATTCTTTTTATTAATAGCTAAGATAATGTTGAGATCTCTATTGTCAATGAACAAAATATTTGGCTTGCCAATGTACTTTATATTCTAGATTTGTATAAGAATCTATTTACTATTAGTGACTAAAATATACAAAGAAGTGACATATTAATAAAAAATTATATGTATCAACTTCTTACATAAGATGATTCTACAATCATTTCTTGTCTACTTCAAAATAACTTATATTTTCTTAGAAATACAATGTTACAAAGTGACCACATCTAGATCAATACTATTATCAATTATGTTGAAGAAATTGACTTACCTCCATAATTTTAGGCTGAAAATTATACTACAAATTTTTTGCAATTAATATTACATTTGGATGACAATTTGGATTCATTTTGTAACAAGGGAAATTAATTTTAAATAAATCTTAATCTAATTTCGAATGCAGCAGTGCTAAATCTCTTTGCTACAAAATCCAAATATAGTCCATACTTGCTTGTTGCTTCCAACAATCAATTCTATATTTTTACAAACTTAGATTGATTACTAAAATTAGTCTCAATGTCTAAGTTGCTCACTATCCAAATTTTGACAGTTCTTGCAATCATGTTGACTTGACATCCTTTAACATAGCTTGGTGCTTTGATGTAGTTATGATCCTTGAAATTTAGTGAGAGTTAGTTATTAGATTGAGTAATTCCCAAGCAACTTCTTATTATTCACAATATATATTTGGTGCATCCATTCTTGAATTATAGTCATAGTCTATAGAATTGTTGTTGTATCATATGAAGTTTGCTTCAAAATATATTAGACACCTATTTATAGAAGAAAAAATAGAACTTGCAATAATATGATTCTAACAGTTTTAATAAAATTTTAAATAAACTTCATTTAAATTATAATAATACTAAACTGTATTAAATTAAACTCTAAAAAAGTCTCAAAAACTTAAAAAAGAAATATAAAGAAATCATAAATTGATATTAATAAAAAATTTATAATAAAAAATATTAAAAAATATCAAAAATAAAAATTCTAATTGAATCTTAATCAAATCCTAATCTAACTTTTAACAAATTCTAATAGAATCCTAAATCAATTCCAATCAAAGCTTAATCAAATTTTAAATCTTAAATAAATTTTAATCAAATCTTGAATATATCTTAATCAAATCTTAAAAAAATCTTAATCAAATTCTAAATAAAATTTAAATGCTAATCCTAAGCCAAATCCTAATAAAATTTTAAATCCTAATTCTAAACTAAATTCCAATAAAATCCTAAATCCTAAACAAATCCAAATCAAATCCTTCAAAAAACTCTAATAAAATTCTAAGCATATTTTAAATCCTAATTTTAGACCAAATCCTATGAAATCTTAAAACTTATATAATCTCAAAAAAATTCTAAGTAAATTTTAATCAATTATTATAATTATTTGAAACCTCAATAAATATTAATTGAACCATATATCTTCACTAAAATTTAATTCAAACTTTAGACAACAAGTAATTAATAAGCATACAAAATTTGAGAAGAATCAAATTTACTAATTGTAAGAAATACTCTCAAAACCTTTTGATTGTTGGCCACCTTCTTTCTCCAACTTAAATGTTGATTTTTTAACAATGATTTTTCCTTGCTAAACTATTTAATTGCTTCAAAAATTGAATTATGTGTAGATATTTAAGTCTTTATTGTTCTCACTAAATTTTATATTAATTTAATTAGTAAATATTGCTAGATTTTGGAATTACTCACTGATCCTAAATTTCAAATTTTTGAGACCATAATCCACAAAAACCCTTATATGCTTTAATTTAACTGCTTAATTGATCTCAAATTTTTTACACACATTTAAAATAAGTACAAAAACAAAATATCTAATTTTTACTTACATACACACAAAAAAATTTACAAAATTGTAAAATTTATAAATCTATTTTTATTTCTCAAAATCTAAAGCCATTGAATACATGATTAATTTTAGAAATATTTCAAAATCAGACCCTGAGGCACAAAACCGAGTCTCAACGACGACTCCAGGACTCTTTGGCAGATCGAAGAATGGAGTTTGAGAGAAGATTGAATAAGGTTTCTATAGGCATTGATTTTGGGTGATTTGGAGTTGATATGAATTTGTAAAAGCTTTGCAAAGTTGAGTTTTTTTTGGATGACTTGGATTTTATGAAATAAAATAGGGTTTATGTTTTGAGTGATTTCGAGAGTTTTGTTGCAGATCTACAAATGAATTTTTTTTGGGTTCATGGTTATAGTTTTGTTAAATACATGTTGTGAATTTGAGCTTGATCTAACGGTTGAACTGAGAGATATTGAGGTTTAAGTGAGTCAAGGTCTCAGAAAGTAGAATTTTAGGTCTAGTGAGGATTTTTAAGATTTCATGCAATCTACTAGTTGGATTGGAGTAAAACTTGTGTGAGAGGATATTAGACTTGTTTTCCTATATTCATGAGAAATTTGAAACCAATCGAACGGCGCAAAGAAGAGAAATTGGCTCTGGAAGGTTGGCAACAAGATTGGAGAAGGAGGCCGGCTAACACCCGAACACATTTTTGAGGTTTTCGTCAATTTGGTAACTCCGATCCTTTTCAAA